TGAAACATCGTCATTTGAAGAAGGAAATATTACTGACACGTGAAAACATTGAATAAAAACTAAAATAGAATTAAGAATATGTAAACAGGTAAAATAGCGACCGCCTTTATGTAATTTCCCATTCACGTAAAAAAATGGAAGGTGTTCAAAATTTTGGGTTAATTTATGGGTTGTCACGTTGGGATAATATCACTGGCGCCTATGAGTTTTTAGATTCTTAAATGAAAAGAGCAAATATCAAAGCTTCTATCGTAAACGATAAGTATCGACTCAAGTATTAAAAAGCTTTTGAATTAACTTTGTATCTCAGCCAGACGCTTCTAGTTTTCTGTTATTTCAAATATTTTGCTATGGAAATAAAAAATTTAAAAAAAAACACTTTTTTTTGGTGAATGGAATGATCGCGTGACATTTATTTTGATCAGTTACTGTCGATAACTCCACCACAAATACGAAATACATCCGAGAAACCGATCATTACGGCAACACATGCAAAACCTGTGTCTGTAATGTTACCTAGCAACCAGTTTTTAACCAAAGCGTAAGTGGACATAGATGTAGATTTTCATTGTGTGGGTCTCTAACCGAGCTTTTTAGTTAAAGTGAATTAGAAGCTATTGGTAAAACTCTTGTTTTGAGCGCAAGAAAAATATTGAATGCCCACTAAAAAACCACATTGTCTATGCCCTTAGGGGATGTAACACCACGGAATTTTCCTGTTGAGCAAAACAAGATAAACGTTCTTTGACTCAAAACACAATTGCACCACATAGACCGGTAGTTTGCTCGTAATGGGTTTACCCGATCGATGTCTAAAGTAAAACTTGAAAAAACTTAACACAAAACGTCATGAAATGTTTCGGTTGGTATACTAATAAGACTGTGTTTGCAGCCGATTAAAATTATATCGCCTTAGGCCTTGTCAAAGTATCTTGATGCAGTTTTTAGAAGCTCAAATAAAATTGATCAGTCAGTTCCGGGATTCAGCAGTTGTTTTAAACGTGCAATTCAATTCAGTCGTGCTAAACTTAACTTCATATAAAAAGGGAAAAATTTGCAAATAGCTGTAGACTCATCTTAGTAATTTGTGGATAGGCTTTAGCCTGACTAGAACAGGTCGTATAACGCAAGTCGAGTCATTGCTCGGCAAGGTCTCCCTGCTAAGTTTTATTTGGCGCCAACGTAGTTCAACCCATAAACCTCGTGTTATTGCCGCGCTGAGTCGAAAATAACCCAATTTGAATGACTATCAGTTATACCAATAGTAAATATGGATTTGATAGATCTTAGATTAATATATGATGATTTATTCAACTTCAATTAACTGCAATGTTGCCTTACCCGGTAGTCATCATCGTCACGCAAGTGTACCAGAGGGAATGAGGAATACTCCGGAAATCTTCCCCACTTTCCACAAAGTACAACACACTCCCAAACAGCAATATCCCTAGGGTGAACGTGAAGTACAAAAACAGCAGATCTGTTGAGCAGTTTCTTAGGGTATAGAGCAAAGACTTCAATCTCGTAGAGCCTCTGGTTAATTTCATTATCCGCGCGACACGTAGAACACGTAGAGTTATTAAAAGCGTAACGCTGTCGGTAGTTACGAACTGCGTCGCAATGAGCGATATATAGTAGGGCAATATTGCAAGTAAATCTATCACATTGAAGAAATCTTTCATGAATGCACAGCGTTTCTTTGACCAAGCGAATCGTATGAGGAATTCTACGGTGAATACAGCCACAAAGGTGGCGTCAAAGGCGAAGAACAAGTCGGGATAGAGCACTAAACATTTCACGCCATCCTCGCAGTCAATTGTCTCCACCGTTGTGGTAGCCACGCTTAGAACTATGAACAACCCATACAAAAAATAAAATAATCGTTGTGCTATTTTGGATTTATGCGGTTGGCATCTGCAATTTATTTCACACTTGCGTGTACTCGAGCACTTTTCTGTTGAGTTTTCACTCTCTTCAGAGTGTTTCGCCCGTATAAATTCAGCTCTCTTATCCGACTTTTGTCGTGTGTTGCCGCATCGTTTCTCTGTCAATGGTACATGATTTGGGCTTCTACTAGGTTGTGTAAAGTTTTTTGACCTCGTCGCGGGAATCTTCTTTCTTTTAATAATCCCTTGTTTATTTTCTCGTTTATTCCAATCGAGGTAATTACCAGAATGTACCGCCTTCATGCTAGCTTTCCTCACGGCGTAGTGACACGGGTGTTTTTCTTTCTCATCAGTGTTTGTTGTGTACCAGCAACAGTCCTCGAGTTCACAAATAGGAATCCCGAAAAAGTCGAGCTCATCCTTAAAAGCAACGGGACAATCGTCGGGCGATGAGTGAAGCTTCCCGCATTGGTAAAAATTCAATATGTATCGAAACAAATATGGGTCTCTATCGAAGAAATATTCCTTCTTAATAGGATCAAAAAACCTGGTTAACATCTCGCTTCCGAGAAGAGTATGTGGATGTCTTTGTAAACACTTCCTTTCTGTCGTATACCGTTGTCCGCTTACGTTTAATACAATACGATGCTTTTTGTGTAATTCGTTGTTGAAGTGAACACGCCTCGCCATGTATAGTTCACTAAATATCTCCTTCCGAAGAGCAGGCCGTCTTAGACTCCATGCTAAATTTTTATGTTTCTTTCATGGAACTTGAAATTCTGCGACGCGTTCAGTGGCTGCAAACCATGAACAAACGAATTATTCGATGTCTCGACTTTACCAAACGGTTCCCTGCAACTTGTTGGTTAAAACAATGCCAAGACATCGATTGACGTACTTGTAAATGACCAGGTTGTTATTATGAAGTTTAATAATCGTTTACCAATGGCTCAATATGCCAAACAGGAACCTTAAACTCGGGCACGCAGAAAATTAATCTTTTAAGAAACATTTAGTGTTCGTAACAGTCCATACGCATATGTAAATGACTCCTTGCTTGACAGTCCATATAGAATTTCATATTTGTTCAACTGTGAATGTTAATTTCCAGCGTTCAGCATTGTCCATCAACAGTCAGCACGCTGAGCCGTTTCGTTCGATATTTCGGCGCTTCTCCCGGTGGTCTCGCTATATCATCTCCTTATATCACTCGACATCCGGGTTAAAGATCGTTGCAATCGCTTCAAAATTTTTTTCCCAACGACTGCGCCACAGAGGGTTTCGCCTGTACTAAGTCCTTATTAAAAGCAGAAAATTGGCGTGGGTTTTGAATTTAAATTACTAATAGCAAAACAGGGCGACCATGTGGAGAAAAAAACACGGTGTATCTCAGTGGGTTTCTCCCGTCTTGTGGAGAAAATAAAATAAAAAGCACTTTGAGACGAACACAAAATTTGTAACAATTTGCGGGGACACCGACGTCTTTTTAACAATGTGAATCGATAATTATCCAGGGAAGGTATGAATTACAAAGCCATTTACAAGAGGCCTTGAACACATCTTAGCAAAATTGGATATAGCGTTTAGGTCACTGGATTGTACCTGATGTTGGAAATATTAATTATCGTGTTTCTGTTGCTGAAAAGATGTAGATATTGAATTTGCTTTTACCTCAAGATCATTAGCTAGAATCAACACATATTTCCTATCTGATATATCCTAGCTGTTCGAGGTTTTTAAGACTATTTATTGACTTTAATGCATTGTCATTGGACGCAGTCAAAAGGAGTCTGATTATAGGTGAAATTCTCCTTTCATACAAAGAAACCTGTCGTTGTCAAGAGGGGCTCCTTAAGTGCGGGAAAACAATAGGGTGACCTGCTATGCATTGTTTGGATGAAAAACAGTGCAGATGTTTTGTTATTAGTCATTATTAATTCACTTTTATGTCCTTCAAGAGCTTTTGTCGGCCTTAATATCAAACGTTTGAAAGTAGCTTAGTACTGACGGCTTTACAATTAGAATCCAATTATTGCTACCGTCACGAACTAACCAGAATTTTTCACGTGTAAATCTCGCGTATATCGCGTTATGCTGCGAAACCTTTTTTTTTTTTTTTTGGTTTTGTCTTTTTTTTTTTTTTTTGTCGTGGGGGATGACACGTGTTTTTTATTTTGAAGCGTGCGATTTCACGAGAAGTTCCTCATTGTGGTGGAAAATTCCCCTTATAGAGCAAGCGTTTTCGAATCTGGTTTGAATTTCATTTGTTCGACAAAAAAAAAACGACCCAGCGTTTGGAAATTAGTGTGAAAACTTTCTCGGCTGTAAATAGTTGCCTGGGAGTTCATCGTCTATGGATGGAATCTCTTTAAAATGTTTGTAAATCTTAATGATTACAGCTTCAGTGTTCCACAAAATCCTCGTTCACTGGAACAAATTTTAAGCAAATATTTGGAAAGCTTGAATCGCCAGGCGGGGAATTTACCCTTCTGTTACAGCGCGCTTTTTTCATTCACAAAATCGAGATTCTCTCATTCAGACTCAATACAGAACTAGGCTTGAGACTCGCGTCGATGATTTTAAAAATAAAGCTCGTTAGAATTATTTATATATTCGTGTTATGTTTGTGGTGGTTGTCGGGACAAAGAAAAAAAACAAGAAAAGAGCTTTGTTTAAACTTGACATGTTTATCCTAAATTTTTCATGTTCACCCTCTGGACTCCCTGGTTATATCTGCCATTCCCCACCATTCCAAGTCAATGTTGATACTTTCCAATTTTTAAGCCCATTCCATTGGTATTTTTCTGTATCCTGCACAACAAGTATCCTTTCAAGGTTATTATTAACATGACAAAAGATTAAATTCATTACTGCGCGGCTTTCAAGGGTTCAGATCACAAGCATATCAAGTAACTAAATACAAAAAGCTTCAAGGCTCGAAAATTATAGTTTAAAACTAAATCTAATGTAGTAGCAGGATTTATTAGATGTGATATCTCATACATGGTAGCCCTGATACGTGGAAAAATTGTCTTTTTCGCAAATTGACAATTAACAACAATTTACCTAGACGTCTTCGACCCCAACGTAGCACCCCCCCCCTCCCACCCCCACCTCCCCCTTTTTCACTGGCCCACCACCGCTACCATTGCATACTCTGTTCTCACTGCTGCCTGATACTCAAAGAAATGAGAAAGGGAAGGTGTCTGAAAGAGCATTTTTCCAGCCTGTTGCTCCAAGAGCTGTTTTATTCCACAATTTCCCAGAACATTTGTATTCATCTAGGCGGTTGTTAATCAATCCCTCTTCAGCGCGAAACTCGAAACTTAAACACTTAAATGAAGTAATTAATCAAATTAATCCAATTGAAGTACACATTCGCCTTTTAGCACCCTCCCCGCCTCACTTCCAACTCGCCCCTCTCCAACTCCCCCTCGCCCCACTTCCAACTCGCCCCTTTCCACCTGCGGTTTTGTATAATTCTGTGTGACATCTTTACTAACTGGTTCTTTTCCCTGGTGCTTTTCTCTATGGTTTTCCTCAGAAAGCTTAAACTAGCTTTCCAGTTGGTTGGTCAAAGTCATGACCATTACTTCTCTCAAGGGTTCCCTGGTTTTGACGTTACCCGATTATTTGGCGAATGCTTTAAGTAATTAACGCAAATCTCCTCTTAGCTTTAGCCAGCTTTTCAGCTTGGTTGTATATTGAACAAAAATATCCCATGTTGCCCTGCGTCTGGTCAGTAACAGGTCACAGATGACGTCAAAATGTGGTTAAAAACAGAAAAGGGAAACTGATGTTTTTACCACATTTCGACGTCCTATGTGATTTCTAAGGAACTTTAAACAATGAGGAGAGGGTCCAACACAGGTTTGGCCGAAGTACAAAGCTGAGGTACAAAACTAAATGTACAAAGTTCTAAAGTGCACGTGCTCAGCTATTGTTCTGTTCATTTGATTTTTTGTTTGTCCACGGACGGCAATATGGAATCTATCTAAAAAAGCAAAAGGCTATTAGTGGTGACGTCTTAAAATAGATCACTAGTGATCGCATCAGAACCAATTGAAATTTGTTTACAATACAGGGTATCATATAATTGGGGGATAATCACAACGTATTGAACACAAAGTTAGCACACGAGAGCAAAAGCTTTGCCACTGTGAGGACAATTTTATTTTTGCTTTCCGGCGCGCGCAATGATTTCTTTAGTATTCATAATTTTTTTGGATAATATGTAATTCTCTGGTTTTCAGCCTCAAGAGTCTTAACTATTGTTATTAGCTATCTGAGTACAACATGTAATAGCAAAATGCATCAAGTCTGTGCGTTCATCACAAGCTGACTTTGCTGAGCTGTAAAATTGAACAAAATTTTCTGAATTTATCAGTGTGAAATAGCTTCCTTTTCTGCGGAAAATTATGGTACAGAATATAATAGACTATGGTATTATCTAAGAGGTCATAAATGCCATGTATTATCAAATGGCGTATGTGCACTAGCACGTGGAGTAAATTTGAGTTGGGGAAGTGGAGCAGATTAAAATGGCAGAATATAACGAGATGTCCTATTTGCAATATCGATTGAAGTCGATATCAGTCAATTCCAATTAATTCGCTGATCTCTAAAATCGATGACTTATCCATCTGGGATATTTTTGTAACTTTGTAGGCATGATCGAGATCAATTGACTGTTTTTCGTTATCACGATTTTCTTGTCAGATCAATGATTTTGTGTTCTTTTTATCCAAGAAGTCAGCAACTTTTGTGAAATAATATTAAGTACTTTTTGCGTCAATTAATACTCGGCCCGCTTTCATAGGGTGTAAGATATCGTTTCCAGTCAATATTAATCGATTATTGGTTATGCATTGGCCCGCATCAGTCGATAACCTTTGATATCCGATGCTCGATTTCACTGATTAAGAAGCCTTTTTGCGTTTTGTCTCGTTAATACAGAATTACTCACTAAATCTACCGTTGAAAGAAAATTAAAAGATTGTGGTTCTATTCAACTATTCCACTCTCCCCTTTAACACTACCGACCTAAACATAACTGAAGCGCAATGATGGACCTTGACAAATATGACCAGCGGTTATGTAACAAAATATTATCTCGAATTCATAAACATCGATTATAGCTAAAAACTTACCTATAGTATGGCTAACGTTTCGAGTACACGTTATAGCTGTTTTCGCTCTCTCTAATATGAAATTAAAGAATTTCTTTCTGAAAAATAGTAGAAATTCTAACTAATAATACCTCTGAATTGATATATAGACTAGAGAAGATGGGGGCTGTGGGTTTTTTTTTTGTTTTTTGTTTTTCACAATAACGCACTTTTCGATTGGGTGTGGTTCTAATCGCAACGCCCAATCACAGCAAAGAAAAGTATTTCGTCTGATTAATTGAGAGGGCGATGCTACTTCATTGCATGCTGTAGTACTCTATCAATCAAGTTGTTACGCATCGAAATAATTTGAAGAAATAATTGGTCCACTTTAAATTGATTTCTTGGCGGTCTAAAGTTTGGCTCTGAACCTCGCAATGCGAATGTCACTGAATGGTGCAACAAGATCGAATCGTGAAATGGGCTAATTTTCGTTGAGAAAAAGCATTATTGAGACTGAAAGGGATTTGAAAACATCATGATGTTTTAATGATTTAATGTCCAATGTTATTTCCCATGAGGTTCGAGTTATCTCCATTCGTTTCACCTTTAAAGATCTCCCTTAGTGAACAGCGCTTTTCCTCCAAACAGGTTGCGCACTCCACATTTGTCTTTTCACCAGGCCTCCGCTTCCTTCTTGCTGTCACAGATTCCAACGTGCATGGTACTTGTTTTTCTTGCAGGATTGGAATCGGCAACGCAAGTAAAACTACTCCAGAAACACAGCAAATGGAACCAACTATCTTACCAAGAATCGATGACGGCACGACGTCCCCGTAACTACACGGTGATAAACATAATACAACATATATATTAGAACGATTGAATCTACGTTAAGTATACGCAGCTACGTTAAGTATATACAGTTGATACGAATAAAAAAGCGATCCTCGCAGTTATGAACACTACTAAACTAGTAGTTGAAATAAGGCCTGAAAAAAAATTCAGGCCCGTACCAGATTTAAACTCATAACCTCTGCGACACCGGTGAGCGTTCTACCAACTGAGCTAATAAGCCAACTGAGAGCTGGTCATTATGTTGGATCCAACCAATGAAAATTAGTTATCGTGGTAACCTGAGTATTGAATTCTGCGTATGATTTTTGCGTGTGAAAATTAGTTATCGCAGTCATTAAAGCATTGATTTCTACGTGTTTGAGCGGTATTTATATAGAATGAAAATTTAAGATGATTTAAGATTAGCTCGAAGGTTCCCTCAGGATATTTGCAATCAAATAAATTTGACGCTCTAATGAGAATTAGATATCCAGCAATCTAACTCTAGATCTTCACTATGTTTTACTCTCAATTTAGTTTTTTCAGTTTTTAATTTCTTTTCCTAGAGTCGCCGATTAATCTTTCCCTTTTTTGCCTTTGTGAGATCGTTTCGTTTTCCTGTTCATCCCTTTCACCTCTTTGCCTGTAATAATGTAATTCTTCATTTTGCGACGAAGTTAGCTACTGGCCCTACAGACTGTTTTCACACAACGCTAGAATTCAAGAGTCAGTGTGGAGTCCATTTAACCCTGGAGCTAAATTAGCCATTGAGCCGGCTGAAAGCTGGCAATACAAAGTATCTTTTTAAGTCGGTCGACGGTGAAAATTAAAGGCATTGTCTTTTCTCGCTTGAATCATTGAAATTGTCAGCAAATACCGCAAGGTTTTAGTTCTTATACAAAGAGCTTTAATACAAATAATACTTTGCCTAGCAGCTGGAGACACTCAATTGCAATTTTGAAAATATCGTTCTCAGCAAGGCTTATTTTATTGTAAAGTTCAATAAACCTCGAGAAGTGCTGTGGATTTTAGGGCGATTTGCGTACACAAAAGACACTTAATACTAATTGAAATCTCGAGCTTCGAGTATATTCATAGTTATTGCCAAACTTTCCCTTCATTTTTTACCGTAAGAAAATTAAAAAATTGAGTGTTAGATCAATTTTGTATCGCTTTCATGTTATTCTGGAATAAGCGGACCAAAAAACCACAGATTGGTTTTTTAATTTACGTACCCACGCATAATTAATCGAAACGGCAAGAAACCGCCCAAATACCTTACTTCTAGGTGTGATTTTTTTCAAGATCGAGAGAAAGCTAAATGCGATCAATGGATCTCTTTAAATTGTCACAGCTTTGGTCCCAATACTTGAGGATCCAAATTTAAAAACCGTTCATGGTTTGCGTCAATTTTTGTTCAGAATTGTAAGGTAGAAAAATTTTGAAATTTTGATTTAACGAGAGTGAGAGTAATCCTCTGGTGATAATAAAAGCTCTTTACAGTAATAAGAATAACTAACACAAATTTTACATTTAAACATAAATTGCGATACTTCGATCGCAAAAAAATTATATAAACAAATGATCCTTACCCCACAGTCATGAGAGTGACACAGATGTACCAAAATGATTCTGGAATACTTGAAAACTGCGGATCCCCCTCCGCGAGTTCTAAATAATAAATCGCTGTTCCAAATAAGATTATCGCCAAGAAACAGATGCAGTAGAGGAAGACGATGTCGACAGCACATCGCCGTAAAGTCAACAAAAGGCACCGAAGTCTTCGAGAGTTCCGGGTGAGTTTCAGAATACGAATCACTCTTAACACCTTAAGTATCTGCAGAAAACTTGTCTCCCCACCAAAACTTTCCACTACCAGAGTTAAATAGTAAGGAACTATTGCTAATAAATCGATTACGTTCATTGCGTCTAACATAAATTTCTTCTTTTGCGGACAAACGTAGAACCTAATCAAGAGCTCAGCTGTGAAAATGATGACACATATTGACTCAATGGTGAAGAATATTTGGTGGTGTTCCTCTCCGCACGTCGATGTTTCCCCGCAACGCAGTGTCTCCAATGAAGCTATTAAAACACTTACAAATATGAAAAACCCGTAAATTATGTGGAATATCACTCCAGTATTAGTCGTCTTCGAAGGGCCTATGGTTCGCCAAATCTTCTGCTTAAGAGTGAGTTTTGGTTCGCAATGTAAGTCGCATAAATTGCCGTTGCAATTTAAATATTCCCCCTTAAGTTCGTCATTGTCGCCTTCGACGAGAACTCCTTTCTCTTTTGGACTGCAATGATCCCAGCAGCAATTGTTTACATCGTAAATTGAAAACCCGTAAAATTGCAATTCCTCCTCGAAAGCCGCGGGACAGTCTTCTTGCGAGCAATGAAGCTTGCCGTAACGGTAGTAATTCAGTACAAACTTGAACAGATATGGGTCTCGATCAAGAAAATACTCCTTCCGTCGCGCGTCGTAGAATTGCTGCATCGTATCGATGCTTCCTAACAGAGAGTCAGGAAAGCGCAACAGTGTACTTTGCCACGTTTGGAACTTAATTCCACTCACGTTGATCGTCAAACGCCTGTCGTTGGTAGAAGCAAATGACCCTTTCACCCGCCGGTCGTTTGTAGACCCAATAGAAGTTCTGGGATAATCGGAAATTGATTTTCGCTGGTTTTTGTTATTGTTAGAGATACGATGTTTCTTATATAATGCACCCGAAACGCTTGTGTGAAACATTGATGGATTTCCACACCAAGATCATCAACGTTTGTCTTAGTTAAAGCCAGTTTAAAATCATGTCGTAGTTACTTCCAGCGTCGGAGTTCTTCTTGAAATGCACTGTTTGTTTTTTTTTTCAAGAGCAGTGTTATGACCTGTTCAGTTGGATCACAGTTTCGAACGTGCTGTTTACGAGACCGAGTCCTCTTCAAACAAGCTTCTCTGTGATCTTTGAGATAAAAGGCGGCCACGTGTTCGATTACAAAAACGATTGATTCGAAAACAGTACAACAAAAACTTTAAAATTACCATATGTTTAGCTTCGAACAGAAAGACGTCTCCTTTCTTTTTTGACAGAGTATTTCATTGGTTCTGCTAATCGCCAACTTGGCTTTTACGCCCTCCTAATAAGCTCGCCGCAGTGGACCTGCAGATAAGAGATTGAGCAAAATATTGTATTCGAGTGAGTAGAATTGAATTTTGATGATAACTTGTTATCATGCTAAAATGTGTGTCAGGCAATTTTCTAAAAACACAGTGATAAAACCACTAATTATGAACGGGGCATTGAATGTCTTAAATTTATGAATTGTTTTCTCTATGTACGCTGTTATGTTATTTCTGTTTTTCAAAATAATCCCAATGTCTCTTGACATAATAGAAAGATAAATACATAACAAAGAAAAAAAAGCGACTTTTTTGATCTCTTTTAAATTTTTTTCCACATGCGACACAGTCTGCAGAGACTTGACAGAAAGCTGAATTTATCCATGACAGATTTCTTTTTCAATTCAATTTCAACAAAACGTTCTCCATAATATAGATCACAAAGAGCATTTTGTCACAATTCATGTTATGTTTCAAAAACGCTTTTAACTTTAAGGATTGTGCTAATGTAGTGCGGTTTTGTCACCTCTTAAGTGAAATTAAGGTGCTCGTCGTTGCGGCAATAAAAGCACTAAACAAAGTTTACGATACTCCGGACTTATTTGCATACGACGGTCTAATCGCCTCCCGATGCTAGCAGTTATAAAAGAAACTCCAGGAGTTTTTGGTCGTTTCCGATTCCGTTGAGAATTTCCAGCGTGAGCGACTCATTTTAAATTAAAATTTCATTAGCAAAGCCATAAAGACAATACATTTTCAGAAGGTGCAATACATGTACTTGGCATGAATATGAATAAACATGATAAAATATAAAAAATTTTTAGAGTTTTTTTTTCTTTGTCGTTTACAAAACATCAAGAATGAAAGAAAAGAGAGTGAGTTAATTTGCCTTTGAGCACACTAGGAAAGTTACGGTCGAAATGCAAAGCAAATTTTTACATTCATGTTTCGCTTCGTTTTATTTTGAAATCAAACAATATGTTTCTGCAATGAAGCTCTTTACTTATAGCTCTGTGGACGCCATTACACATCTATCAAACAATTAATTGATCAAAAAAATATGGTGGATTTTCGGATGACAGCACTCGGCGAAGACTATAGAGAAGAACTCATTCAAGATGTGAGACTGCTAGAACTGTAGGAACAAAACTCCAAACTGAATTTGTTGAATTTCTTTTCTCTTCCTTTCTTCCGTTGTAATGTCTTTTTTAATCATCTTTTTTTTATTTCTGGTGAATTTTCACCCCTCTAACTCTCAGAAGAAGGGATTTTTTTGAAGATTGCCGATTAAACGAAAAAAGTCGTTGTAATAGTGAAACACTTGGTGCGATGACATCTTCAACTCGAAGCAAATCTGAAATTAAATCCCTCAATTTCAATAACTTGGCCCCATGTATACTTTCAATTAACTAGGCGGGATCTTAATGAAGCAAATAAAATTACGTTTGTGGTACACTACATGACCTGACTCACTCAGCTCGATGGATTTTCTCTTCCTCACTCGTCACCTCGATTAAAGTTCTGACGGAAAAACACACTTGACAATGGCCGAGGCACCCTGTCAAAAACTGTTTTTCAGCTTTTATTTTAAATAATTTTTCTCACTTGTATCGAATTAAAGCATCTCCAATTCCGGTTTTCCTTCGAAGGGTGTCCTCCATTTCCGCCGTTTTAATTATATTTCGCTGTCGCTTCTTTTAGATATGCCGCAAATAAATATAGTTGGAAAAAAGGAAAACATATCTAATTCCGAAAAGGTGACAAACTTTTCACCTCTTCGGTGAGATATAATTAATTTTACATGAATAAAATCAAGAAATATTGGATAAAATGGAAAAAAGTGCAACAAATGTCATGCTAAGTAGGTCGATCAGGGCCTCAGTTTTGTTTTCAAACTTTGATATCAGTAGCGGCCGTTCTTAAAGCCGTGTCCTGTTTTGTTTTTGTAATCTGTCTCTTGGTGCCTTGGTAAATGTTTTTGTTGGCGATTTAGGGGTCAAAAAGAACACGGAATTAGTTAGGAATTATGGAAGTTGCAGATCAAGGATATAAATTATGTTTTTTGACCGAACTTTGCGTGTTGTCCAACCATAATGCAAGATTATATCGCCAGCACAACATTTCCCAACATGTAAATCGTTGCCTTATGACATAACACTGAGCCTCACAGCTAAGGACTGCTTATTTGTTTCTCGGCTTATTTTTGGTTATTTGCTTTCGATTCATTTGCTCTTCTCTTGATTTGAGGGATGTTTAAAGTTGAATGTCAGTTTAAACAGTTACACAATTCAAATATTTAAACAGTCAGGCTGCAAATGTTCGATCTCTTAGACTCCTTACGCGATGAAGGAGCTAAATCGCGCTGATTTGAGCCGTCCATTCTTACTGCGACAAGAAATATTACCGTCAAAGGAAGAGGAACTACAAAATGTTAGATTGAGAAGAAAGAACAAAACAAATGATAATTAGTAAATCAAGAAAGAACGAAGATGGCTTTGTGTTAAGAATCGCGATGATTTGAGCCGTCAAGACTGACTGCAACAGGAAAATTCTATGCACCTTAAAAGGGAGAAGAACAACCGAGTTCGATTGGGAAGGTAGAATGCGACAAAATGGTACGAATAAATCGAGAAAGAACGAGGATGGCTACGAATGGAGAAAACTAGCTTGGATTGCCAAAAGATAACCTAAAAAATCTAGCCAGACATGTTCAACAAAACAAACTGTGTCCTAACTCTGTTGATACCAAGGGCCAAGCTTGATTGTGTGAGCCCAGCAAATTAAAGTGGCCTTTCTCACGAGTTTTTCCAACAATTTTGAAAAGAGTGGAATACGCTTCCACCACAGTTCATCGCTGCAATGTTGCAACATTCTAAAAGATATTTTACGGACAAATTTGAAAATCAGGTTTTTACCAGACACAAGAAATTTTCCTCCACATGACACAAAGCTAGGCACAGTCTCAGTTTTTCCTGTGAAGGTCACCTTTTTTCACATTTTGCCTCAGCCAGAGATAAAAAGTCATTTAGTTTAAAAGTCTCGGCAGCTGCCTTAATAAGCTTTATAGCACACCATGGTTTTTTAAATACAGATGAGATAAAAATTGCAACTCCGTTATTACAGACACCACAAAAAGTCAACAATTATCACGCCACACGATTTTTGAAAATCATTGGCGAAATAACCAATCAAAAAGCCAAAACAAATCTTCAGAAGTAATACCACGCATGCTCAAACAATTTGGCATATCGGTATATGATGTTCACAGTAGGATTTCTTCACCTTGACTGTGACAGTTGCACGGTCGCCACAACTATGAGGTAGGATACGCGCTAAAAGCTTTTAACAAATTGGCAGAGTTATTAACTGAAGGACCTGTTTAGTTGCGTCGGCGGATAATCGAGGAACTGAGCTGATTATCAACAGGAAGGATATGTAAACTACTTCATAATGCCATCATCATGCTATTTTATTATATAAGGGCAACAGGAAACGCAAAATGTTATGGTGTTATACGGTATAACAAGGCAAAAAGTACGAACGGAAAAAAACCGATAACATGACCTCACGGAACGATTTAAACGTTGATTTCTTCAAGTTTTCCTTTGGGCTTTTCTGCGATGGACTTTTGAATAAAACAGATATTTTTGTGTCTTTGATTCCTTGTTTGTCACAAAGGACATTTTTCGCTTGTGTTGGTTCCTCCTTCGCGCACGCCTTCTGCAATTGATATGATTCTCCAAGAATGCCGTGGGATTATATATTTCAGAAACCATAACCCGAAAAGGTAAAAGTAGAATCAAAATGGCATAATGAATCCCATTTTGCATGGCTCAACTTATGTTATAATAAAGTTCGGATATAACGCGCCCTGTCATCGGTTGAAACAACGTGCTCTATCTGAGTATAGAACATAGGGCAAGACAGCTAAAGCCGTCACCCTAACTGCCTAATTGTGCTGTGATCGACCATTTCCCAGACCTCTCTCTAGCTTTTTTTCATTAATTAAAAGTGAAACACTCGGCCAACACTCGTGTAGTATATATAGTTTCGTGTTCACAAACAAAACAAAACAATCTTGATGACTACGTCTCGTGTTTCTCTCTACACTTCTTTCGTGCTCGAACCGCTTCCTGTGTGCTTTACAACAGAAGAGAGCACAGCCAAGGCTTCTCTATTTGTTAAATAAAAGTGGAGATTTTGCACATTGCTCGTATTTTTAGTTAAACCATCGAGCAAGATGGACGTAACGACTTTTATGAAGATAGGGCAGTTTTTCTAGCTCTGTTAAGTTGAGATCAATCGACCAGTTCTACTCAGCGAAGCTCTCTTCAAACAAAATTGTGGAATATAAATCAGAATCTTGACCCTAATTTAACTTTTTCCCGTTCTGACTGAGAACTTCCCGTACCGCTAGTAATTAGAATATGCAACAGTTGACCACATCAATAAACTAGCGGCATACTTTGATGTTTTGATCTTGGCTATAAATGAGGAGAAGACACAGGAATTGTTTAAAAAATGAGATTGATTAATCTATCATATACCGCGTTTGACCGAAAACGTCTTCCTTTCATAATTCCAGAAGATAATTACGGCATAGCCTGTACAAACTGATCACGTTATAACGAGAAAAAAAGAATCAGTTGAAATCCCACAGAGAATGCTTTAGAGTTTTTAAGTTTGTGCTTGTATCTGCGACTTATCATGATGAAATACGAAAAGACACAGCAGGGTCCAAAACACAACTTTCTTTGGTGTTTCCATGGAGACGTGGAGTTATTCGTCGTAAAAGTTTGTCTTATAACTAGAGCTCTGATATCAAATTCATTTCCATATATGTATATGTTTGTGCGTGCTTGATACAGCTCAATTTTTTAGGATTATTCAAATTTTTTTCCTGAAAGTAAGACGTTGAAACCATCTGCAAGGAAACTAAGAACAAAAGAAAAATGGCGTATAGACCAAACAACGTTTTTTCTCTTAAAATCTAAAACCCTGAAGGAATGACGGAACAGTAAGAGCATTAAATGTCTTATTTCGCTGAAAAGATTTGATTAACTATGCGATCACCTCGGTTATTTAATGCATGAAAATCCCTCCTATTAGGAGATCGTTGAGTCCTCAAAAATTTGAATTTCCATTCTACTCTGAAACCTTTACGTGAACAAGTTTTCGGGCGTGTTTTGTACAATTGCACGCGCGTAAGATTAGCTGTTATGTTCAAAGGGATCCGCCATTTATTACGAATGTTATTAGAGAGATCTCGAGAATCAAAGTATGGGAAAGATGACATTTCTGCAACGATAGCATTTTTTACGGCTAAGACCGCGGGCTTTTTCTGAGCTCAGTCAAGATGGCTTCTGAAAAAGCCAACTAAAAGTCATATTACATTTTGCATGTCATAAACGCTGCTTATTCCCCTAAAGTGTTTATCGTTATGTGCGGGCTTCTTATTGGTTGTCCGAGGGCTCAGATATTTAATGGATTATATCAGGACTCATTAGCAATATTGGCTAATGCGGAAAGAAAAATAAAGCTTTTCAGGTTTTTTTTTCTTCTGTTTATCCACCATTTGCTAATGGCCAGTAATAAAATCGAACAAAAGAAATCTAGGAGACCTGTCTCAATTCATAGATAGAATATGCCGTTAAGATATTTGTATATTGTCTATCAGTTCTCATTTTGCTCTGTAAAAGTTTCCGTGAGAAAAATTAAATGGCATTGATGTGCAAATGCACAAAAATTTAAAAGCTTCAGGGTATTTACTTCCCATTATCTCGCGAAAAGAAAAGTCCATTTAAATATCGTTATTTTGACGGTGAAATATTCGAACATAAACTTGTATGAATTACCTCCTGTTGTAAGGGATAAAAGTGTAAAAGTTAAAGAAGACCTCAAATTTACAATAAAAAAATAATTGTGTACGTGCTTTTTAAAAAATTTAAATTTCATAATGACAGGCGGATAGCATTTCCATTAACCGAACAGCCATCAATGATCGCAGACAGAAAAGTTAAAGAGATAAATTACTTTTGTTATCAGGCAAAGCTATCCTCTTGATCTTGAATTATTGAACCTTTTAGTTCACTTGGTAGAATTTTAAATCAATTTCAACGTACCTCTCTTTAAAACTACGGTATTTGGGTGGGCATTGACAACTTATTCAAGGGCACGAGTGAACGTGTCACCAATGGAACAGAAAGTAGAAAACTAGTTACAAACCTAATGAATGAGAGCTTACAATCCCCTTCTCTGTGTCTAAATTTTACTTCCGAAAACTGATACTTCCCTTTTATCGTCCTGCTTGTCCCTCCTTTTAAAACAACATTATATTGAAGATCACCTGCTTAGCACCCTTGCTTTAGCTAGTTTCACGATTTAAAGACTGACATTATCTTCCCAAATCGATAAACCGCTGGACAAGAGTTCTGGAATAAATATTTCAACTATT